CCAGTAACTATGGATAAAATACTAGAGAATATGATCACTGAAATAATTAATGGGCTGTATAATTAAATGAATCAAAGCCTCAAACACCTACATTGGGGGGGTATTACTGGAACTCAATACGTCCAGGAACTAGTGTGGTTCATTCACCAGTCCAATGTATAATAATCTAATCCTATGAACATTTATAGAGTCATTATCTTTATCATCAATGAGAACATAGATTACAAACATGAATATAATAATTATAATAAACACATATTAATCCAATGAACAGAGTTCTGCATGTAAAGGAATACAGATAATAGAAATCAAAGAATACAAAAGGAATCTTAGCTTAAAGACGATTTCCAAGAAGTTAGTTACGACTCATCCTCTGATTCTCCTGGACTCGTCATGGAACACTGGGAGTTGATTAACATGGGAAATGACAGCTCGGAGAATTCTTCACACACGCTGTAAATCAAATTGTTTTCAGTAGCAACAGATTAAGCTACTAGATATCTATGTTCAAGAAATTGAGATTAATAATAAGAGGAAATAATGACCTGTAGTTTTTTATTGTCGCACGGCGTCACGACAAGCTACCCAGCTATAAACCCATCCCCTATATGATGCATCAAATAAGGATAAAGGTACTTAGCTAATATGGGCACTGTGTAAGTTAAGGCTTGCCGAAGTTCGCGTCCTAGGTTCCGGTCCAGCCTATCCTAGATACTGACGAGCTTCACTGGCCGGTCACATGGTATTACATAGAACCAAATTTAACAGGTTCTGGCCGAATGTCAAATTAATCTCTTGACCATTCGACTTGTTATGTAAAATGACACTGACACCAGCAAAGTTAATGTCTGCAAAGGTTCTTCACACCTCACAGTGGCGACTTTCTTCTAGAGTTCTTGATGGCGTCTACCCTCGTGGCTGGGGTAATGGTGTCTCTGCCTGAGCACGTCACCTCGTGAACGCTTCACCACGTGAACTGGCGTCTCCTCTGCCCCGCTCCGCGTCCAGCGTTTGTTACTCAAATTATTTATGGCGGATATTATCATTTCTCGCAGTTGTGATTGAAATGCTCGGATAATGACGGGTTTATTATTTAGAGGAGTTAAATATTATTATTTGCCCGTTTTATGCTAGTAAACGAACAATGGAGATGAATTAAAGTATCTCCAGGGCATTCACGCGTGACATTAAATTTATTACTAGATAACAGTTATAACTATAAACGCTCTATTTGGCTTTAGTTGGAGATCAGTTTATCTGTAATTAATTATCACACAGAACACCATTGTTTATAGAGAATCAAATTCAATTCTCAGACACAATGGATATAAATGTGTTTATTACAATGGAATCTGACGCAATACTGGCGTCTGGTGACGTAAGAATTCTAGCCTTATTGTACAGATGTAATTATTAGTACATGTGGACTCTACGCTTGGTTAATTTTAATCACTACAATGATTAGTAGAATTAGTAATAATTAATGAGAATACAACAGTGTTGTATTTAGTGTTGGAAATTTCCAACATGCTGAACACTGACAACATGTTATCATATAAAGAGATTCGACAACTGCCATTTAAACTTTCCAACAAGAACACTTATGTGATAAGATTCATCTGACCGTAAATGTTATAGCAAGGAATAGAACAACTGACTTCCGAAGCATATAAATTCTGTCTAAAACATGTTCCTTTGTGGAAAGCCAGAAACGTTGACGGCACTAAATAAGAGGAAAAAAGAAAAGGAAATGCTTAAGCAGACATGACTTTCCCTACAAAGAAGGAATAATCTAAACAGAGAGATTGAAGAAACAGAGCAGTGAGTGAAGCAGTCATATCAGATTGAAGAAATGCAACTAGAACAGAGAGCAATACAATAGATAAAGAAAAAAACAAAATATTTTTTCACATATGCGACATCAAAATAAAGTACCACTGTCAGTATTGGATCAATTCATACAAGTGATGGTTCTTACAGATGATAACATATAAATTAGTGAAACCCTAAAAATGCAATATGAGGACATGTTTAACACTCCACAAAACACCATGAAAGTGGAAGATCTGGACATTTTATGCATGATATTCAAACCCTTAAAAATATAATTGATATCAGCATGCACGCTGCAGATATTAAAAGAGAAATTGACAACATGTCCATGCACTCAGCCACAGGTACAGGCTCATGGAAGTCAATATTTAAAAAAAAAATGAAAAATGCCAGTTGCTCAGGCACTCAGTATAGTGTGGAGAAAGAACTTGGACACGGGGGAGATACCGGATGCGCTTAAATCAGCAGCAATAGCTTCTCTACACATGGAAGGGAGCAAAGTATTGGCTAAGAATTATAGAACAGTTTCACTAATGTCCCACATAATAAAAGCATTTGAGAAAGTGATCAGAAGTCAGGTCACCGGTTTCACAGAGACCAATGACCTCCACAACCCCGGCCAACATGGATTTAGAGCGGGAAGATCGAGCATCTCACAGCTACTTGACCATTACGACGAAGCCACTGAAGCATTAGAGGAAAAGTAAAATGCTGATGTGGCATACATGAATTTCACAAATGCATTTGATAAATAAGACCATGGAGTGATAGCCTATAAAATGATGTTAATGGGAATAACAGGTAAAGAAGGACGATGGATATTCAATTTTCTGTCAAACAAAATGCAAAGAGTATCAGTTAATGAAATAAAATTGAGTCCAAGCACAATGAAAAGCTCTGTACCTCAGGACACAGTCCTTGCGCCACAGCCACAGGAAGTCTACCGAGTGGACAGCACTCGGGGGTCTTAGTCCTAATGGCCCTGGTTTGATTCCCAGCCGTGGCAGAAATAAATAGGCACATCTTCTACCCTGATGCACCTGTTCATCTAGCAGTAAATAGGTACCTGTGAGTTAGACAGCTCGTACGCGCTACCTCTAAGGGATGTGTGTGTGTGCGAATGTTAGAAAGAAATATATGTAGTAGACATAATAGAGGAAAATAGATTTGTTAAAAAGCGGGGGTCCAAGAGCTAATAGCTCGATTCTTCAAGCACAAATAGAAAATACTCTTCCTTATTCGCATATCAGATATAGACAAAAATACGTCACAGCTTCTTATCAACTCTGCAAATCACACAAAAATCAGCATTAAAATTACTTCTTTCATGAAAACTACAAGCTGAAATCCAAAAAGGTTTCTACTGGGCAGCAGAAAATAACATGATGATTAACAATGATAAATTCCAGGTACTTAGGTACGGTATAAATGAGGACTTTAAACAAAATACAGGATTCAAACACAATCAAATCTCTCCATAATAGAGAAACAACATGTAAAGGATCTGGGAAAATGATGTCTGACGGCCTAACGTTTAGGGAGCATAACCTAGCAATATAACCTCAACGAGAAAAAGGATTGGATGTATTATGAGAACCTTTAAACTTAGGAATCTCATCACAATGCTCATTCAAATCACTTGTGCTGTCCCGTCTTGAGCACTGCTCGATACTAACTTTTCCCTTCAGAGCAAGACAGATTGTTGAAATAAATGGAATACAGAGAACATATACAGCATACATAGACATAGTAAAGTACCTAAATTATTTTGATCGTCTTAAAACTCTAAAAATGTACTCTTTAGAAAGCAGACGAGAGAGGTATTAAATAATATATACTCGAAAAATGCTGGAGAGCCAGGTCCCAAATTTACACACTAAAATAACATCATAATGGAATGATTTTTTCTTTGCAGGGATATTCCTGCGCGGGCCCTAAGCCTCTGGCTGGCCCATTAAGTGTTGCTTGTTTCTGTTTTACTTGGGCGGAGTATGAATATTTATGACTCGTATTGTTGCTTCAGTAAGATTTTGCCATAGGTGTTTAACAACTTCTGCTTTGTTGAATCTAAGTTGAAATCTTAATGGGTTTGTAACTGTGCACTGTGTTAGATAATGTTCCAGTGGTCTGATGGAATGAATGATTGAGAAGGAAATGCAGAATAAAGCCCGTGGAGAATGGAGGTGCCCATGGCACAATCAGAGCATGAACATCAGAGGTCTACTGTTGTTGAACATCCTCCCAGCGAACATAGGAAATATTGCCGGAACAAACATGGACCAGTTTAGGAGAAAACCGGATAGTTGTCTTCAAGAAGTGCTGGACCAACCTGGCTCTAATGGATACGTGGGCTTGCAGGCCATTCCAAACAACAGCCTGTTGAACCATGCTCTCAAGTCAATCCTGGCTTTGGGTGTAGAAGAACTCCCAGAAAGCAATCAGTGTATGAACAATTAAGGTATAGCATTAATGCAAATACTCATAAATCAAGGTCGTCAGAAACTTATCAACTGGGTGCCAATTCATACTAGGAAATGACATTGCAGATGAAGATGCAAAACTTGCAACTAAGAGGAGGAATGTAAACCTTTACACACCACAGAGCTTAACACAGATTAAGAAAATAATTAGAGATAGAGCAATGCAGAAGATTTACTTTGATGATAAAACAGCAGCTGCAACATCAGGATCTGCGGATTGGTATAAGAATTCAACCAACTACGAACCATTTATTTTGGTAAAAGGGAGCAGTAGATAAACAGAGGAGCACTTACATCGTATCAGGCTTGGATACCCATGTACATAGGAAATAGGCTTACACGTTCTAGAAGATGGGAGGAAATGTCAGCACTGTGGAGAAATGCCCGAATGACCATTGGAACATTATCAATCACAGTGCAGAGTTGTGAACCAAATAAGTACACAACTGAGACTTAGAACACAGAAGTTGTTAAACACATTCGACATAATATACTGAAGAAACCTAAGTCATAACATCTCATCCACCGCCTCAGTAACACAGAAACGATGAATACTTAGTGGGCCAGCCAGAGGCTTAGGGCCAACACAGGATTATAACTGATAAAATAGAAAATCCTGTATCATCACACCTCACTTCTATCACTATTCCCTGATCCACCAGCACATTCTGCATGCTCGCACCTCACCTGCACAAGTATTCCCTGCTCCACTGGGACATCCTGCATCCTGAAGACTATGTAACAGAGTTGTTGGTCGAAGGGATACATCTGGAGCTTGAAGTGGCACCTGAAGGTGAGAGTATTCTCACTCTGCAGTACCATCATGTTCTCAGACCCGCTGTACACAATGTCTGCAACAGTTTCCCCACATAAAGGCGATTTATTCTGCCCGCAGTGTGCCAGGAAATAATATGTTTACATTTATATAATGGATTTGACTCACTATTTACTATGGGAACATAGAGTACATTCAGTTAACCGTCATTATAAATATTCACTAAAAACCTGAGAATAAATATTAACACTGCCATATTTTTTGAATTCTTGTGAACTGTCTCAAAGGTTTCCCTTAACTCCTGTGAACTGTCTCAAAGATTTCCCTTAACTCCTGTGAACTGTCTCCAAGTGTTCCCTTAACTCCTGTGAACTGTCTCCAAGTGTTCCCTTAACTCCTGTGAACTGTCTCCAAGTGTTCCCTTAACTCCTGTGAACTGTCTCCAGGTGTTCCCTTAACTCCTGTGAACTGTCTCCAAGTGTTCCCTTAACTCCTGAGAACTGTCTCCAAGTGTTCCCTTAACTCCTGTGAACTGTCTCGAAGTGTTCCCTTAACTCCTGTGAACTGTCTCGAAGTGTTCCCTTAACTCCTGTGAACTGTCTCCAAGTGTTCCCTTAACTCCTGTGAACTGTCTCCAAGTGTTCCCTTAACTCCTGTGAACTGTTTCCAAGTGTTTCCCTAACTCCTGTGAACTGTCTCTAAAAGTTCCATACTAGATAGGTGGAAGAATAGACAGACTGATGGATAGATAGATGGATGGATGGATGGATGGATGGATGGATGGATGGATGGATGGATGGATGGATGGATGGATGGATGGATGCATGCATAGACAGATTTAATGAGAGACGGATTTGGGTAGATGGATGGATACATGTATCGATAGATGGGTAGTTGGATGAATAGATTAACAGATAGATGGATAAAAAAATACATATTTGAATATATTATAAAGAAAGATAAATGAAGGCGAGATGGATATATAAATGGACTGACAGATGAATAAATAGATGGGTAGATAAGGTGATTGATGGATAGACAAATTGACGGAAAGACGGATAGATACATAGATAGATAAATATAAAGATGGATAAGTGGGTAGCAGGATGAACAGATGGATGGATAAATAGATGGATAGACGAATGGATGTATAGATAAATAATTAGAGATATGGATATGGAGATAAGGACTGATAGATGGATAAATATATGGATAGATGAATTGAAGGATCTAATGAGGTATCGATAAATCAATAGAGAGAGATGAATATATATATATATATATATATATATATATATATATATATATATATATATATATATATATATATATATATATATATATATATATATATATGCGAACAAGCCTGAATGGTCCCCAGGATAATATGCAACTGAAAACTCACACCCCAGAAGTGACTCGAACCCATACTCCCAGAAGCAACGCAACTGGTATGTACAAGACGCCTTAATCCACTTGACCATCACGACCGGATAAAATGAGGTGATAGCCGAGGCTATTTGAACCACCCCACCGCCGGCACTCGGATAGTAATCTTGGGCATAGCATTTTACCAAATCACCTCATTCTTTGGGGCACACGTGAGGAACACAAATGCGAACAAGCCTGAATGGTCCCCAGGACAATATGCAACTGAAAACTCACACCCCAGAAGTGACTCGAACCCATACTCCCAGAAGCAACGCAACTGGTATGTACAAGACGCCTTAATCCACTTGACCATCACGACCGGACAAAATGAGGTGATAGCCGAGGCTATTTGAACCACCCCACCGCCGGCACTCGGATAGTAATCTTGGGCTTAGCATTTTACCAAATCACCCCATTCTTTGGGGCACACGTGAGGAACACAAATGCGAACAAGCCTGAATGGTCCCCAGGACAATATGCAACTGAAAACTCACACCCCAGAAGTGCATATTGCATATTGTCCTGGGGACCATTCAGGCTTGTTCGCATTTGTGTTCCTCACGTGTGCCCCAAAGAATGAGGTGATTTGGTAAAATGCTATGCCCAAGATTACTATCCGAGTGCCGGCGGTGGGGTGGTTCAAATATCTCGGCTATCACCTCATTTTGTCCGGTCGTGATGGTCAAGTGGATTAAGGCGTCTTGTACATACCAGTTGCGTACATACCAGTTGCGTTGCTTCTGGGATATGGGTTCGAGTCACTTCTGGGGTTGCTTCTGGGAGTATGGGTTCGAGTCACTTCTGGGGTGTGAGTTTTCAGTTGCATATTGTCCTGGGGACCATTCAGGCTTGTTCGCATTTGTGTTCCTCACGTGTGCCCCAAAGAATGAGGTGATTTGGTAAAATGCTATGCCCAAGATTACTATCCGAGTGCCGGCGGTGGGGTGGTTCAAATAGCCTCGGCTATCACCTCATTTTGTCCGGTCGTGATGGTCAAGTAAGGCGTCTTGATTAGTATGGGTTCGAGTCTTGAGTTTTACATATTGTCCTACCAGTTGCGTTGCTGTGCCCCTGGGAGTATGGGTATCGAGTCAAATACTATTCTGGGGTGTGAGTTTTCAGTTATATATATATATATATATATATATATATATATATATATATATATATATATATATATATATATATATATATATATATATGCGAACAAGCCTGAATGGTTCCCAGGACAATATGCAACTGAAAACTCACACCCCAGAAGTGACTCGGGAGTATGGGTTCACGACCGGACGATAGCCAAGGCTATTTGAACCACCCCACCGCTGGCACTCGCCGGCGTCTTGTACATACCAGTTGTCATGGGTTCGAGTTCTGGGGTGTGAGTTTTCAGTTGCATATTGTCCTGGGGACCATTCAGGCTTGTTCGCATTTGTGTTCCTCACGTGTGCCCCAAAGAATGAGGTGATTTGGTAAAATGCTATGCCCAAGATTACTAACCGAGTGCCGGCGGTGGGGTGGTTCAAATAGCCTCGGCTATCACCTCATTTTGTCCGGTCGTGATGGTCAAGTGGATTAAGGCGTCTTGTACATACCAGTTGCGTTGCTCCTGGGAGTATGGGTTCGAGTCACTTCTGGGGTGTGAGTTTTCAGTTGCATATTGTCCTGGGGACCATTCAGGCTTGTTCGCATTTGTGTTCCTCACGTGTGCCCCAAAGAATGAGGTGATTTGGTAAAATGCTATGACCAAGATTACTATCCGAGTGCCGGCGGTGGGGTGGTTCAAATAGCCTCGGCTATCACCTCATTTTGTCCGGTCGTGATGGTCAAGTGGATTAAGGCGTCTTGTACATACCAGTTGCGTTGCTCCTGGGAGTATGGGTTCGAGTCACTTCTGGGGTGTGAGTTTTCAGTTGCATATTGTCCTGGGGACCATTCAGGCTTGTTCGCATTTGTGTTCCTCACGTGTGCCCCAAAGAATGAGGTGATTTGGTAAAATGCTATGCCCAAGATTACTATCCGAGTGCCGGCGGTGGGGTGGTTCAAATAGCCTCGGCTATCACCTCATTATGTCCGGTCGTGATGGTCAAGTGGATTAAGGCGTCTTGTACATACCAGTTGCGTTGCTCCTGGGAGTATGGGTTCGAGTCACTTCTGGGGTGTGAGTTTTCAGTTATATATATATATATATATATATATATATATATATATATATATATATATATATATATATATTAGTATATTTTGGTAGCAGTCTTTCCTGAAGACATATATTATTAAATATGACCGAAAAAGTAAGATTAATAATTCTAACACGAATTTTCTCGATCTTTCTTATGTTTCTTTTCACTATTGATGATAAATGAAAAATCAATTCTCCAAAATTCATTTTTATTTCTAGTCTGACGTGACACTTGAGCGCGTTTCGTAAAACCTATTACATTTTCAAAGACTTTAGTTTACACACACACACAACTTATAACTGAATAGAGCTAAAACATCTTCCATTTTTTATACCTGCATTTGGGTGGGGTGATATATTACAACAATTTTGGATGAGGTGAAAACAAACTTTCAACACAAGCCAGAACACGAAACAATGGGTATTGAAGGTAAGAATGGAAGTAATTGCATAGGGCCTATTGGCCCATATTTCTTGATGCTTCTATGTGCGGAGTTTTTTGATGTGCGGAGTTTTGAAGTGGGTAGAATATAGTTGTGCATTAATTGGCTGTTGATTGCTGGTGTTGACTTCTTGATGTGTAGTGCCTCGCAGACGATTAACGATGCAATTTCCATTCGATTAACGATGCATAAGCAACAGGGCACCATTAAGGAACATATAATCTCTTCCCACAACCAAACCATCACCAGAGAAATCTTAGCAAACAACACAGAAATCATCGATAGATACAGCGATAGCAGGCGGCTTGACATCTGCAAGGCACTACACATCAAGAAGTCAACACCAGCAATCAACAGCCAATTAATGCACAACTTTATTCTACCCACTTCAAAACTTCGCACCAATATAGAAGCATCAAGAAATATGGGCCAATAGGCCCTCTGCAATTACTTCCATTTTTACCTTCAATACCCATTGTTCCGTGTTCTATCCTGTGTTGAAAGTTTTGTTCTCCTCATCCAAAATTGTTGTAACATATCACCTCACCCAAAATGCGGGTATAAAATGAAAAATGAAAGCTGTTTAAATCATAGCATAAGTAAGAACTCTGTTTAGTGTTTGCAGGTAATAGTTGTGTGTGTAAACTAAAAGTCTTTGAAAATGTAATAAGTTATTACGAAACGCGTTCAAGTGTCGCGTCAGACTAGAAATAAAAATGAATTTTGGAGAATTGATTTTTCAATTACCATCAACAGTGAAAAGAAACATAAGAAATATCGAGAAAATTCGTGTTAGAATTATTAATCTTACTTTTTCGGTCATATTTAATAATATATGTCTACAGGAAAGACTGCTACCAATATATATATATATATATATATATATATATATATATATATATATATATATATATATATATATATATATATATATATATATATACATATATATATATATATATATATATATATATATATATATATATATATATATATATATATATATATATATATATATATATG